CTCTCTCTCTCTCTCTCTCTCTCTCTCTCTCGAGATCCCGCCGCCATTGTCGAGCTTACGTTCTGCTGAACGCATTCGCGCGGCTGGTTTATCGAGTGGATTGCCAGGATTTCCGGTTGTCGCTCCTCCTCGCTTTTATAATTAACGCGATTTTTCAACGCGAGTGGAGGTTTTGCCGGCGTGGAAAAAGCGGTTAGGCGAAGACGAGGGGAGAAATTGGAATTTCAGCGAGCTGAAGACTCGTGTAACTTTTTCCCGATTTCCAGGCTGTTGCGTAAACTACATAGAATTCAAGTGAAACGATTCAATCTGATCTCACCACTGGATTAGTGGACGTTGGTAAAAGAAGTAATGAATCAACAGATTGTATTAAAAATTACGATTGTGCTGAATTTCAAACTACAATACATTTTCTTTAGAAAATTTATTCTACAGATTTTATAAAGTATTCGTTACAAAGATGGATGGAAATGTTTCGTATTTTAGTTCAAATTCAGCTGAGTTGTCGTGAGAATTCGTCAATCACATACAACTTTCGATCGAATACTGCACCAAGTATTCAAAATATTTATGGAGGCATATAATGCACATAGTAAAAGTTTTGGTTTGAGGCGAGAATTGAAAGAGGAGAAATTCAATCCCAATTGGTCGGCAAATTATAAAAAAATTACTAAATCTCGGAGTATAATACGATAGAAAATTGTACAGTTCAGCGCAAACTTTGTTTTCGAAAGTGGATTCTCATGTTTATGGTAATAACCATAGTTTTAAGTACTCCATTGCTTCACGGCCATCATCGTCACGCTTTTGACGTATAGCTTGCGCAGAGGCATTCATACTATGCAAATAATGCACGCTTATTTACCAATTCTTGTTTCACGCGCAGGGCATGATCAATGTACACACATAAATCGATTTATAGCGATTTAACGGGGACTTGCGTTAGGGGGAATCGTAACTAACAGTAAGTAAGTGTTGCTGGCTTTCGTTTTACTTTCTCGAAAATATTTTGCTATCTCTGTTTTTTCATTAGAAGAAATTGTTCCTAGGAAGAAATTGTTTCTAGAAATTAAAAAAGAAAAAAAAAAAATTTCAATTAGAATTCAATCAGAACATGCAAATCGTTAATGGAGAAGAGAGAATCGGTGAAAATCGATTTGCCTTCACGGTATCGTGCTGTTTTTTTCTCTTCCTGTAATTTATTCGCGAGGAACTGGCGTCCGTGGCGAACAGCTACGGTGAATTTGAAGCAATTAAGGCTGGTCGTGCGAAGAACAGATAATTCCAGCCTAACGAAATATACGGCTCGAAATCGTGAAGATATTCACGATTCGCGAGCTAGTCAGCTTGAACGACTCTTCATTGAAATTATATTCTCTTCATTGAAATTATATTCTGATTTGTAATAAATTTCAGATTACTAGAATACTCATCACAAATCGTGTCAGCGATACTTAAAATCAATTAAAGATCGTGGATGATTATCGAGGTCGTGCCGTTGACATTTGAGATCATTTGAAAGTTTCAAAGTTTCTTCTAAATTATGCGTTATACTGTAACAGTTATTATGATTGTCTGGTTATTCATCTGATTAGTTGTTTAGTTATTTGACAGAATGCTTGAAGGAAATTCGGAACTGAGCAAACAATGAACGTTACACTATGATCAGTGATGTCGAGCTGTATTTATTTTTAGTGTGTATATTAAACGAAAAGTTGGCTAATCCTTTTCTTCCTGGCGGTCATGAATGGACAAGATTATGAGCGATTTTTAAGTGACCTGGAAAGTAGACAAATAACGTCTGTTCCCAATTCTAGCGTAGGAGTGTTAAAATGTTTAACCTGTGCTGGTACTAAAAATACCTTTCGTACAATGTATTTTTAAGGAAAACAGCCATCTTTAAAAATATAAGAACTTCTAAAAATATTCCCAATCATTCACATGAATTATTTATCTCCAAACAACTGTAGTTTTACTATTACTAATCAATTTTTTTCTGATAATTTTAGATATCGATATACGACTTATTTCGATTTTCTCTGTGTATGTGTGTCTTTTTTTAAAATATTATTTACATCACGACTTGAAACATTTTTCTTCAGATAAATTAGAAAATCAGTACAAACATATTTAATTTAACTTCTAGACAGAAACCTATAGTTTCGTTAATAAACAAAAATCGAAACAAAATCAACAATCTGGAAAAAGGAAGTATCTATTGCGGTTTCGCACGACCATTGACTTTTCAGATTCGGGCTACTTTCTCTTTCTACGTTAAAACATTTATCTTAACAGAATGATACTATATTCCTTCAGACAGTGAGCATGATAAAGCTGTAGGTCTACACAACGAATTGTAACGAATTATTTTCTATGCCCGAAATATTATATTAAAGATCTCGCTCGAAATTTAGTAGCGTAGAAATATAAATTTGGAAAGCTCTTAAACTCTTGTTCTCTGCGTCTGGAGGAAATTTAATTTTTTGCTTCGCATAACATGATAGATACTCATTAATGAAAATAACGAAACGTCCTAGAATATTATTTCAATAGCCTATT